CCCCCAGTCTCGCTGCTGTTCGTTGTACCTTGAATGTCCCTTTGCCTGTATTTTCATTCAAATCTGAACTCTTATTTGAATCCACTGCAATCTTACCTTTCGGTCTCTATATAGCCTTTTGTCTGTGAACTTTTTGGTACAAATGCATCCTCTCCTCTTCTTGGACTTCCTGTGTTCTGATTATAAGACACTCAAAAACATACTGGCAATTGCTGAAGTCCAGGCTCCAGGCCTCCACACTGATGCTCCTGGGCCCCTCTACCTGGGTGTCCCTTGGTCATCCTAAGGATGCTTCCTGAAGAAAGTCTAAGGTGGAATCCAACAGTCCTCCCCCGAGAGATGCTTCCTTTACTCCCCATTTGAGCCTCCAGAGTCCTAGCCTGTGCCAGATGCTCACCTGCCAACCTTTCTGTCTCCACACTAAACCCAGTCCATCTCCAGGCCTTCCCACTGTGAATTCTAAATGTCTTTGATTTTGTCTACTTTTAGTTTCTTCTGACCATCTCCTGTGAAATTACCTACCTGAACCAGCAGTCTCTGGCTTGTGTCTGGAGAAGACACGTAATTATCATCCTGCCTCTAATCTTGCCTCCTTCAGTGATCTCCCATTTTACTGCTGAACTGTTCTTTCCAGAGCAGAGATCCAAAGCCTGTACTTAAACCCTTTAATGATTCCCATTGCTGTCAGGATAAACAGGACACATAAGGCCATCCGTGGTCTGGTATGATCTGCCTCCCTCCAGATCAATTTCTCAGCATCCCCTGCCTCTCTTCTCTACTTCCCCCACCTTGCAATTTTCATTCCAGCCAGACCAAACAGGTTCTATGTCCCAGTCTCTAGAATACGACTGGTCCCTCTTGTCTCAAGATCTCTGTATAAGGGCCATCCTTGCTTGACTTAGGATGTCTTCCTTCTCCTAAGTCTCATGAGTGCAAACACCTTGTCTACTTCAACACGTGATCTGCGTTGCCTAGAACAGGGATGAATAAATTGTAGACACCTCAAATATGTTTAATAAATTAATCAAATAAATGACATGTAGGCTTTCAAATGAGTGCTGTGCCCTTCATAGTATTTACCTTAGAAAACAATATCAAAAACAGAAAACAAAGAACAACTATTTATTTTGCAAAGAAACAAACTCCTGATTTGTACTTGCTTAGGATGATGATGCCCTCTCTCTCTCTCTCTCATACACACAGACACACACACACACACACACACACACACAGAGTCATTATCTAGCATGGCTATCCATGTTGTTTCCCAAGATGAGTTCCAAGTTACTATTGATTATAGAAATAAAATTGATTATCAAAGGAGAAAAATACAATTTTTTTTGTCCCTGAGGACATGTAAAGAATGTGCCTTGGTCACAAAAAATGTTTTCATGTAAATGCAAAGTTACTCCTCTATTTATTGGGCACCTACTACATGCCAGGCACTGTGCTAGGGACTGGAGCTGCCTAAAGAATAAAAAATAACCCCTGCCCCATTGACTGCTGAAGAGATGCCTCAACGTGCCTGCCGGGTTCCTACTTGAGAGGAACCCACTCCACACATCAGAAGAGGAAGGAAGAGGGAGGAGCACTGGGGGAGGGGAAAGATGGGTCAAGGAGAAGAGAGCCCTGCATTACCACTGAGGCCCAGGGGCTTTCTGGAGAACTACAGTGGCTGAGGAGAATGTATTCAGTTGCCTTCCATGTGTTAGGAATGGAAAACCTCCTCCAGCTCATCCACATCATCCAAATCCTCAGCTCTCAGTTAGAATGGAGGATGTTTCTTACTGTTGTTTTGTGTCTGTTTTTGAAGAGAGAATAAGAGGATCGGGGAGATTGGGCATCTGGCGAACACAAACGTGGTGGCCTGATGCTTCACCCTGGGTGGTTTTGGACCCTTTGAACGTACCACATAATTGGCTTTGGTATTTTGTGTTCCTCACTCAGGGATGAGTGACACCAGCAAAAAAAAGGGGGGAAAGTTCATCTTGAATTTTGAATTCTGAGAGCCTAGAATTCAGAGAACACAAAATATTCAGTTTATAAAATGTGTTTGTAAGAATGGCTGACCATCAACAGTCATGCACCCAGTCCTGACAAGATCCAGATTCCCTGGGACTTTCAGACGGGAAAGAGGAGTGCACAGATACTCCCTCTTCTGCTAGTGGATCCTTAACGGAAGAGGCACCGAGCTTTGTCGTCCTTCTCCTGCACCATGAACACCTCGTACGGAGCTAACAAAACACCAGAAAGGATTGGGGAATCTGGGCATAGAGAGACCGCTCTCCCAGGTAAGGCTCCATGGAAGCACCAAGAGCCCACAGTGACAGTGGATGTGGGGATCTCAGGGCAGAGGGGACTTCACAGCTGCCCAGAGCTTCCCATAGCCAAGCAGTGGTCAGCAGTGGTAGAACGATTCTCTGTGTTCTCTGTGTGGAGAGGGGTGAGAGCTTGCAGAGCAGGAGTGGGGCTGACAGGTCCCTGATCCAGTGACTGGCTTCCCAGCCAGAGGGAGAGGTCTCTGCTGCTGGGAGTCTCTGCTGATGCCAGAATGGACAGCCCTGACATGTGACAACATCTGCGGTCCTGGGGAAGATGAGCATCCCGACTTGCCTGGGAGTGTGCTCACACCAACAGGCGGAATGAGCATGTGAGATGATAGTGAAGCTCCTAGCCACACACAAAACAAACGTCCTTACTCACAGAGATCACCGCCACTGAAGACTCTGAGGGTCCTTTCCTTCCGTAGATACACACAGACTGAACTAAAAGTTATATAGGATGCATCTAATCATCCATCAATCATCTGATTATTCATCTATGGTATCTATCATTTGTCTACAGCATTATTCACTTGAGATAGCAAAGACATCTTTTCATCTATGTACAGCTCTGTCTCATTCTCTTTAGTAGCTACGGAACATTCAACTTAATGGCGGCACTACAATTTATTTAACCATTCCCCTATTGATGGAAATTTGGTTGTTTGCAGATTTTAATGAGAAGATGGCATTCCATTTTATGAACTTATCATAATTCATGAAAGCATCTCTTACTGGTAGATATTAGGCTGCAGGCAATGTTTACTGTTACAGTACTCAATCAAAATTCCTGTACACATACCTTTATAATGTTTTTATTTGATTTTTTGTTAGATCCATAAAAGTGAAATGGCATGGCCAAAGGATATGCAAATATATTTTATTAGATAATTCCAAATTGCCCCCAAAATGTTTGTAGCGGTTGGTTGTTCCTGCCAACAATTATGAAACTGCCTATTTTTTCACAGCCTCGACAGCAATCAATGTTAACAATATATGACATGTTAACAGTCAGATTTGGCAGGAACTATTTTGTTGTTATCTACTTCCTTATTCCTTTAATCAATACTGAGGTTGAGCATCTTTTCACAGATTTATTTGCCATGCGCACTTCTTTTTTGCTTATACGTATTCTTTATCCCTTTAGGGTACTGTCTGTCGTTGTCTTTCAATGAGTTGGATTTCTCTGAATATGGGATATTAACAGTCAATTGTAAATGTTTTCCCTCCCTTGTTTGTCACTTATGTTTTAATTTTGTTTAGTCTGATTTTTACTGGGAAAAAGTTTATAAAATTTGGTAACCAAATATGTCATGTTGTCCCCTCTTTCATTTTGTTCACTCTCACTGCAAGGCTACGGCAATGTTCCTCCATATTTTCTTCCTGTGTTCTTTTGGTTTTTATTTTTACATTTAGGTCTTTGATTTAACATATATTTATTTCTGTTGATGATATAAGGTAGGGATCTTCATTTTACTTTTTCCAATGCGTAATCAGTTGTTCTCATTCAACATATTTAAGAAACCATTCTTTTCACTAATTTTAAATGCTGATTTTATCATACGTTAGAGACCCTTGTGTACTTAACTTGGTTTCTGTGCTGCTTTTTTTTGTTCCATTGGTGGATTTGTCTGGTGCCGAACTCTTATATTTTCATCATCCTTGCTGTAAGTTGGGCGGCTTTTCAACCCCTGGAGTTTGTGGGAGGCAGAAACGACATGTTGGTGCTTCTGTTGCACAGAGGACAGAGCACGCCGCTGAACACAGAGCTTCCTTTAGGAGAAAATTTGGATTTTCACACATTCGGGAAGAAATTATTAAACTAATTAGCTAAGACCCAAGGTAATAAAATCACTGCTAATGGGCAGGAAGGCCTCCCCAGAATTTAAATTCTTCCTGGTGCTCCTCCTGTGCATTTACGTGCAGACAGCATCCTCCCAGGGCGGGGAGAAGCAACTCTAGGAGAGCCTTAGTTTACCTTCCAGCTCCTGGGGTACACGGCCTTTCCAGTTACCCTCTCAAGCGAGGGAGCACCTGCCTCAGGAAGGGCAGCTCCCGTTAAATCTTCAGATGTTAAAGGGCAGTGGGAAACGTCACAGTCTCCCAGCAAGAGAGCAGAGAGAACGGGTGGGTGTAAATCTCAGGCAGCTGATCGTTGGAATCCATAAGCCCAACCTTGTAAATAATTCACTTCGGTGCAGGAAATCTGCATATGAGCATGAAATGTCATTTATAACTCATAGGATATTGGCTTGGCTGGGAACAGCTTTCCAGTCGACTCATTAAGTGCTGCTAAGGAAGACAGAACATAGCTGATGTAGAATACACTCCCTCCAGTAAGCCTGTGACTGTACAGACTAGTTAGCAGTACTCATACTGATAATAAAACTCAAGACTATGCCTGCGTAATCACTCAACTCTCCGCAAGCTCAGCGGCTCTCCGGGGTTAGCTTGGCTCTACCTCGTTTCCCAAGGTGCTTCCAGGCCTGCCCTTCGCTGAAACCCAGAGCAGACCAGGAGAAATGTTGGCCGCGGTGCTTTCTCATGAAGTGATGCGTGCTTACTGGCTGCAAAGAGAATATATAATGTTCCAATTAAGAACTTATCGCCCTGAAATTCTGGAATCTCACATAGATGACTTGTGGAGAAACAAGATGGTCTTTGTAATGAGCTCCTTTTCTCTCTTTATTAAATATTGATTGACTATGGAAGAAATTCAATTTCCAAATAGAGTTTAAGTCTTGTTCCTAGGGTATTTGGTAGTGAGATTTTATTTTTTTTTGTTTGCTTGTTTGTTTCAGTTTTTATTTGAGGACTGCGAACATCTCCAGAACAGGAGACATTTGGAAGAGCCCGTGCCTACTGGTATCTGAAACTTGGCTGCTCATGTGAGTGGGTGCTTTATTTTTATTTTTATTTTTCCAAGTGAGGCTGGGTATGTTGAAAACACAAAAAGCCTACAGTGGGAGAAAGAAGGAGTTTTTTACCTGTGGAAAGAAAAATAAAATTAACATGCCTTCCAGTTTAAATATAAGCCTCTGAAAACGTTTCCAGCCAATTGTACACCTATCTGTTGATACATAGAAACATTAGCGAAGCACAACTGGAATCACTCTAGAAATAAACTCAAAGAAGGGCTGAGATTTCTTGGCCTTCTTCCCAAGGGAGTTATTTACTAAAAGAGCAGGAGGGACTCATTATGAAATGGCTTACCTATCACAAGGTCCCATGTCACTGGCTCTCAGAGGCGATTAGAGATTTGCAGGCTCTCGCTGACGAAGTGCTCATCCTGTCTCATGGAGCGACCTCAGATAGAAGGAGGTCGCTGCAGTATACATGGTTCACTCAGTCTATCTATGTGGCTCCGTGCTCTATCATGGATGGATTTTAATTTCCTCTGGCCTAATTTCCTTTTTACAAAGTAATTTGATAGCTACCCAGCATGCATACTCTCCTAGGTGGCTACAGATTGATTGCTTGATGAATGTGCCAGTATTTTTTTTTAACTGCTAAGGTTATCGTTTACCCACTTTCGAAATATGTAGTATTTTTTGATGGCTAAGGTTATTGTTTACCTACTTTTAAAATACGCTGTTTGCCTTTTTCCAGTCTTCAGAAACCCCTTGTATCCTGCGGATTCCTCAGCAACACTGTCACATGGAAGAGAACCAGCAATGTGAACAAACATGAATATGATGTTCATTTTCAGACTGAAAGAGGAAATAATTACAGCTACTATTTACAGTGTCTGGCTTTTCAGGCTTCATGCTACAAGCAGCTAACTCTTTGTCAAAGAATTAATTTTGTTTAAGATAAATAAGTTTATATATTTAAGGTCATGTTTCAGAAGTAAAACCAGAACTATGGTTTTTATCGAGTTATAAAATTAGTTGGGGAAAAGGTAATGAATCTAAAACAACTCTTGAGATCTGCCATGTAGAATTTGAAGTATCAATGTAAATTAAAAGCAGATTCACAGAGAATTCTATGAAACCGAGTTCCCTGTTAACTTGAGGGTGCCAGATTGGATCATTTCTCAGGTTTCTCATGGCTTTTAAATACATAAGTAAAAGCCCAGTGAGTTATCAAAGAGATCTGTGACCAGTGTGACTTCAGTGTTCCACTGTGATTTGAGCATGTACATCACTGACTGGTTTTTTTTTTTTTTTTTGAGACAGAGTCTCGCTTTGTTGCCCAGACTGGAGTGCAGTGGCCGGATCTCAGCTCACTGCGAGCTCCGCCTCCCGGGTTCACGCCATTCTCCTGCCTCAGCCTCCCGAGTAGCTGGGACTACAGACGCCCGCCACCTCGCCCAGCTAGGTTTTTGTATTTTTAGTAGAGACGGGGTTTCACCGTGTTAGCCAGGACGGTCTCAATCTCCTGACCTTGTGATCCGCCCGTCTCGGCCTCCCAAAGTGCTGGGATTACAGGCTTGAGCCACCGCGCCCGGCCCTGACTGGTTTTTTTTAGTGGTCAAAAATACATTTGACAATGTGCCAACAAAATTTTTCTCAAATCATGCCATATATCATTGGTTTATCAGAGGTTACAGTTCATAGCAATAAGTTTTGTGCCTTTTATTCTGAATTTCACAGTCTTTTATGAAAGCATCTTGACTGATAATTGGCTGAAAGACCATAAACAAAATCAATGAAAATAAATCTAGTCAAGGTGATGGCCATTGGAATAACAGGAGCCCTGAAGTTGAGTTTTATTTAGCATTCTTCTTCTTTCTCAGAAAGAAAAAAAAAAATAAACACATAGCAAATTAAATATGTGATCCCCAAACCAACTATATCCAAAAATTCTTGGCTAAAAACCTGTAGATACACTTTCAAGAAGTGGAAAAATGGAAGAAAATGATTTCCTTAAGCTAACAAATGAGAAAATAGTTAATATGGGGCCTCGTCCTTTCTGTGGCTGGTGGCTCTCTCTGGTTGTAGATTGTGTGCACAGGGAAGGACAATGCCTCTTTCATGTTATGAGGGGGCATGAGCCACCGTGGGAAGGAGAGAACTCAGTGTTACCTGCTGTTAACTAGATGAAGCAAAAGTTGTTTTAATTAGATTGGTTCTTCCAGCTCCCTTCCCCCAATCCCAGCATCCACGTACTGGTAAAATAGGGCTAGGCACCATTGAAGAATGTAGAATGGAGCTTCCCAAAAGCTGAAAGTAGTCAAGCTTAGGGTCAGGGTTTGACTGTTGATGGGAGAAACTGGACTAGCCTTGCTGCTGGAGTATTGCATTGAAAGAGAGCAGGTACTTAGCCACCCTTCTGTTTCAAAGCTGGAGCTGCTTGGGTTGTATCATATTTGCATTCTAATAGTCTGCCAGCTAATAGGCCTCTAGCCTTGAAGAAGTCAAGAAGGAAAAGGAGAAAGATAGGACTTCTTAATGCTGCTACAGTCTTTATTCCACTTATAAAGAGGTGGAATTGGTGGATTTAATTATTGTTGAAATATATGTCGTTGCATCTTCACTACGAAATCAGGGTCTCTGTCTCTCTTTTTTTAGATTCAAAGTGGTCTTCAACATACAACATCATTAGAGAGCTACTCTGTGCATCATTTGGAGATAGTAAGGATTTTTAAATAATTAGGTTTGAATAAAATATACTTAGATCTGTACTGCTTGATTAAATGATGTTTTAATGTTGCAAAAGGGCCATCAGGAGGCATTTGCTTGGGTGGAAACCTGGGTGCTTCCTCACTGGGCTGAGGAGTAAGTGACTAAAGAAAGTCACTGGAGTACTGGGTCTCCATTCTTTACTTCTATGCTTGTCCTATGTTTGAAGCCAAGGAGTTGTTTGGGGCTGTTATCCAGGCATTAACACAATAAAACTGAGTTGGAAATGATGGAGCAGAAAGAAATATTGGGAGCTTTCCTGGGCCCTTATTCCAGGAGCCTCCAGTTTGAAGATCCTCGGGCCCTGCCTGGAGATCCGCTGGCCTGCGGATCCACAGGTATTTGTGATATTCCACAAATGCCACCACTGCTAGTAGCGAGAGAGAAGTGCTTCCACAGGAAAATTAGAAGCCAGTGAGCCATTCTTCACGGGAATCCTAAGAGCATGAACAATATTCTCCTAATTAGGATTTCATAATGTGTGAAGTGCATGGAAGCACCTGGACTTCTCTAGAGTCTGAATTTGGAGATTATTTTGTTCTATTTGGGTTGATCATGAAGCAGTTTTCCTGTAAATGTGACTAACTTAAGTAAAACAAATACAAAACCAAAACCAGCTTTAGGTCCCATGAGGAACTTCCAGAAATATCTAAAGTCTGTAGTCACTAAGGAACAAGTGTAATTCCTAATGGCAATGCTTTCTACAGCATTCTGCATAAACCTGGAACCCCAAGACATTAACAGGTTATTTTTAAGAAAGGAGGTTGTATGAATTTGGGAAACACTTGATAAACAAAGTGCACAGTGATGGTATTTGGGGGGCACTGAAACCAAATCTTCACCTCTGTGATTCTGAGCTGCAGGCTCCCCTATGGCTCCTACCATGAGATATGGGTCCGGCTGGCAGGACCTCTGCAGTGGCCATAAGTCAGGAGTGGAGGGAGTGGAGGAGGTGGCGTGTGCAAGGTCTCTGTGATCAGGGAGGGTCAGAAAAGTGAAAGATCTCATCCTAGTGTTTCTCCCACGTGGAGCTCCGTGGGGTCAGGGTGGGGAACATGACAGGAATGTCAGAATAATGTAAGATACCCAGTAACTTTGGGACTAACTGCACAACTTCCATGTGTAGCTTGGGGGAGGCTGCAGGCCTGTGGGAGAAGCCTTTGTTCAGCTCAACTCCATGTCCAGAAGAAAGTAAAATTGTGAGACGAGTGGGACTATTTCACATTTTTACAAACCTCTATAATGCCCAGCTTAATAGAAGGCAACGGGGTTTTCTTATCTGCTTCTGCACTGAGTCTTTCGAAATACCTAACCTCATGCAGGCTCTGGAAAACCCCACTGCACATAATACTAGTGTCTTAGTATTATCATACAAGTAATTTTGAGCCTTAGATCCCTGAAAACACCTCAGGGACTCCCAGATTACACTTTGAAAACCAATATGATGGTGATTGGGGTTGAGACAAAGAGACAACAGAGCCTTCACAACTGGACAGCCAGAGTCTGGACTCCTTGGGGGACCAGCTTGACCCCCAACAGTCCAGACAAAGCCACCCACCCAGCAGGGCCACCAGCCCAGAAGTCAGCATAACAACTGTGTAAGAGAGGCCAGTGGGCATTCATAGGGTGCTTTGGGAGGCTGAGACCCCTTATTCCTGAGACAGGGGGGCATCCTGGAGAGGGATATGGGGAAGCAGGGAGACAGGAATTTGACTCAATGAGCACCTCAAAGACTGTGTCATCTGAGTCACTGAACATCTTTGGCAGGGCTTTGCATCGACTGAATATTTAATCTCCAGTTTGTTTTTGTTTTTTCTTTTTTAATCAAAAGAAACTGAGCTGGCACACTTTGAAAAAGACTGACAGCTCTTCAAATATTAAATAGGGTTATCATACAACATAGCCATTCTGCTCACAGAGATATACCCAAGAGAAGTAAAAACATATGTCCACGAAAACACTTGTACACAAATGTTCAGAGCAACATTACTCTTAATAGTCAAAAGGTGGAAATGACCTGAAAGTTCACCAAGTGATGAATAGATAATCAAAATTTGATAAATCCAGAGAGTGGAATATTAGTCAGCCACAAAAAGGAGTGAAGGCAGACACATGCTGCAACAAAGATGAACTGGAAAACATTATACTTAATGAGAGCCAGTCACAAAAGACCACATGTTGTATGATTCAATTTACCTGACATTTCCAGAATAGGTAAAGTCATAGAAACAGGATGGTGGTTGTCAGGGTCTATAGGGATGGGGAGGAAGGAGTGACTGCTGATGGGCATGAGGTTTCTTTATGGGGTTATCAAAATATTCTAAAATTAGTTATGGTAATGGTTTCACAATTCTGTGAGTATATTAAAAACCACTGAATTGGACACTTAAGGCTACATTTTACAGTATGTAAATTATATCTCTATATGTTATTTAGAAACATTTTGTCCTTAGTTTATCAAAATAGGACTTGAGAATTCAGTAAAAGACTTGAGTTCTCACTAATTGAGCTCAGTAAGTTTTACTGTGAGATCAGATCAGTTATGAAAATTAAAATGCTGTACTAAAAATAATGCTATACTTTTCTTGCAAATCCCCTCCCCCCCCACAAATTAATCAATCTTTTTTCCTACAGGACTTCCCAGAGGTTTTACACGTATGTCATTGTGTCCGGTGAGGGTTCAGTGTTGAAGTGTTTCCAAAACCAGCTGCTCCCTGCACCTCTGCAGTCTCAGAGCATTTGGTGTGGCTCTCTTAGTGTCCTAGAGAAATCAGTTAGAGAGGTTGTCCTTTTCACTTTAAGAGTCAAAAGAGGCTTTACAGATTTATATGGAAGGAGAAACACCTTGGAAATAGAGTTAGGAGATGAATGTGTTTCTATAGAACAGAAACATTTAATTTAAAGGGACCTAAAGAGGGAGGCAACCCCAGTGACCCTTCCTGGGGTGAGGGCTGTGCCAGGTGCGATCACACCACACCCCTCATCTTTCCAGCCAGGCTGTGAGGCCAGCGGGATGTCCTGTGTAGCATAAAGAGGTTTGGAGAAGTCACTTTGCTTATGGGCAAACAGCAAGAAGGTGATGGGATGGGGCTCTGGCCTCAGGGTCGTCTCGTGGTTCTTGTGCCCTTTTCTTTAAACTTTGCAACCAGAAAATATGGAGCCAATAGCACTGTCTCAAGCCCATTTTAGGAAAGAACAGTGAATTAATAAATTACTTGTGCTGTGTACACCTCTGTTTTGATTGGCTCGAGTATTTCTACTGTGATAAGTGAAATTCACCCATCACCTGTAAATTTCAAGTGTACAAGAGACTTAAGTCCAATTTTTTTTTTCTTTTCTTTTTTTTTTTTTTAACTAATGGCCTTAATCAGCAAAGACACTGCCATTTTAGTGACATGTTTTTGGAATGGAGGTAGAACACAGTCAGTCTGTTAGTTGTCATCTGTAGCTGCTTTATCCTTTAGTTCTCAAATCTACCACTCAGGTTAAACTGTTCTTTGCAACGCATTACTTCAAGAAGGTTTGACCATTTTGTCTCTTCTTCATTCAAAAGTACAAAAGAGAAGACCACCCATAGCTGTAATCTGACACTTCTAGCTATTCGGTTATGACTTCTCTGAATGTACAGGTATCATTTCTGATCAACCAAGAAAAACCATGTTATAGTATTAATCCACTGACACTTAAAAACAAGTAGCAAATACAATCAACAAGATTCTTATTAGTGACTACATTTTATTAGGGGTGTCCATGTCAGGACTAAAAATGGAATATTTACTTTTCTTTCCTTGACCTGAAACTTTATGAATTATTTTATGATTACACGTACAATTAGGAGCAATATTATATAGAAATCTGATGAATAACATACGGTTTATTTAATTAATTCAGAGGAGGGAGGATTTCTTTCCTCAGTATATTAACAGTATATTAAGGGGGTGTGTTTAGGATACAGCACTTGGGAGTTTCACACTAATAATGTTCTTGCATGGGGTGGAGGATCAGTCTTCCTTCAATTGAAAGGACTGTTGAAATCCCTAAAAACTTCAGAAGCATCCCAGTGCACTTGTTTTCCTGTCTGCCTGATGCCCGTATCACTCCAAGTCCTGTACATAGTAATGGATTTTTAAAATCATTGTGACAAGGGATGAAATGCATGTCCCTTGTCCTAGTGCCCATATCACGTTGTAGTAGGTGTGTTGTAGTGACAACCACCCCCCAATCTCAGCGGTTTATAACAACGAACATTTCTTTCTTGTTTAAAATATCTCACTACTGTGACACTGTGTGTCTTTTCATTCCAGGACTCAGGCTAAGGAGCAGAGATCTGGGGGAGTAGGCTCTTTTCATGGAAGATGAGAAGTACAAGGGGAAGAACCAAACCACACAATTGCTTTTAAAGCTTCTGCTCAGATATGCTGCACATCACACTGCTCACACTGTTGTGGGAAAAGCAAGCCACAGGCCAAGCCTGGTGGTGGATCAGCTCCCCCAAGTCGCATGGCGATAGGCAAGTGTATCTGCTGTTACTGAGAAAAGAGAGGGGTAAATAGTTGTGACAGATGATACAAATGTGCATACCTCGCCTAACACAACTCTAGTGGAACAGGCTATCTGTTGTGCTGGAACCCACGTGAGCTTTCGGATTTTCATCCTCTGTGCATGAGACAGATTCCACTGGACACCAAGCTTATCCACGCATCCGTCCAGAGATATCTGGACTCACTGAACACCCAGTCACTGTCTGCAAACAGGAGACACTGAGTTTCCAGTAAATAAGAACTCCCAGACGCATGAATACCTAAGAAGAAATTAAATGTGAAGATCTGATCAGAAACATAGTGGAACCAGTGAACACTGGCCAAAATGAAAAAAAAAGTCCCATTTCACTGCCTGGACAATAGTAGGAAGGAATTCCTTACAGTTTCACGCCCTGTATTGACTTTAGAGTCATTAATGAACAGTATCTATGTTGTGTGATCCATGAAGTAGTGAGAATTATTCACACCTGAAACCATTTTCCTACTGGCTACAGAAACGTTACCATGATATGATTTATTATTAAGTGTTGTTTTCCTTGTCAACATTTTATGGTTTAACAGCCCACCTAAGTGTGAATTAGTTATCAACTGGCTTTCTTATTGAAAAGACAGATGAGGCTGCATGAAAATGCTTAGCACATGGGTAGGAAGCAGTGGATGAAAACAGCAGAAGTAGGACCCAGAGGATGAACTCTTTTACTTTCGATTATTCAGATTATATGTAAGTTCCCATGCTGTTGAAATCTCTTCAGCAGCAAGTTAACCTCCAACCTGCGAAAGATGGAAGAAATCAAGACTTGAGGATGGAGGGGACAGGGACGGTCTCTGTATCCATGTGCTCCCTGAGGTGAGGGCCCCTGCCTCTCCCATCTTTGCACTCCTCATGCCTACTGTGTACCTGGTGTAGACCAGCTGCCCTGAGATGTTTGAGGTGCTGTGTTACCATTGCCTCTCCTGAATTCCCACCGAGTGCCTCCTGAGTCATGTCACGTACCCCATCGCAGCCTTCACCCAAGGCCTGGAGACAAACCCAGCACACACAGGTCTAGTATTAATTCATAACCATCATGATGTACCTAAGATTCTACCTACCTGGATGTTGATTGATGAAATTTATGAAGTATTATAAGGACTTCAAATCCACTTATAACTATGACATACAAAATGCACAAAACCAACTTTTAAAGCCTTCTATGATTTGTTTAAGACTGAAGAACTTTAAGACCATTACTTTTTAAAATGTTAAAAAAAAAAAAACAGAAAGAAATGGAAAAAGGAAAAGGAAATAAAGAAGCAGAGGTGGACATCAAGACAGAGGAAGGAGGAGATGCTACCTGCCTGCTCCCATCCATCTCCTCTTCACAGTCAGAACCACTAAGAGGAAACCTGTGCTACAGGAGAAGATGTTGCAGAAATTTTGTCTTAGGACTTTAACCTTTCTGATACATGACTGGGTCATAAACTTTCTTTTCAGAAGCTATCGATCACCCCATCACCTCTGCAAATGGGGTGTCTATCAACGGCATCTGTTGCTGGCACATTGGAAAATGGTTCATGAGTGGTGAAATTTGTTGCAACTTTTGCTTCTGTCCTGTAATGAAGGAAAATAAACTTTCTTCTAGGAGTGCAGTATTGAATTTGCCTGGGTATGTTGAGTTTGTAGCTGTTGCAGGTGCACCTAGGCGTAAAGCATTTGGAGGCATCCTTGCATCTGTGTTAAGAGGCTCTCTGTGTAGGGGAGAGATCATTGACTCATTGGCCTGTATACTGATGTAATGCCCAAGAGGAGGGCCCAGTACCTTTTCTGAAAGGGGCAGCTCTTCCTCAGATTGGGAACTGGAATTGAGAGGTTGTCTTGGTCAGAACTGAGAAAGAATGAGCTCTGGATTGACGTCTCATCTTAAACTCCATAGAATCTGGGTTTGAGAGACAGCACACTCACAGGAGATTGGGGCAAAAGAGTGCTTTGTAGGGCCATAGCTCTGCAGTGATACTTCTCTCTTGGACCCAAAGTTAAAGACCCATAAACTCACGGTGGTAGGTGCTTCCTTCTGCAGCAAATTCCCCTTGAGTGTCCCTCCCTTTTCTGCAGAGTTTTGTTTAAATGTTCCCAGTTATGCTATGGGGAATCGGGGAGGAGCTGTGGACACACACTGGTCCATGTAGGGGCCGCAGCAGTGACCAGTGAGAGGGCTCCTTGAGGACGGCGACTCTGAGGACACAGAGCTTGTGCTGTGAGACCTAGAAACTAAGTTCCCAAGGAGCTTTTCTCTTCTTTGCCAACCTTGAAGATCCAGGTATTATTTTATAAAGCCGGATGGAATCTTCCTGCACATAGAGTTCTCAGGTCCAGGTAGTATTTTATGAAGCCGGATGGAATCTTCCCACACAGAAACCTAGAGTTCTCAGGTTTCTCAGGTTGCTCTCCGGCTCAGTGATGCTGCGTGAGAATGACCATATCTCCACGGCACAAGCTTTGGATCTGATGTCAAGAAGCTTTTGTGAATCCTAAAAACGAACTGCATCTCCCTGAATCGAAATAAATACTACTATATGCACTTGAATGGAAACAAAAACTGGGATTCTTTTTGGGCCCTAAGCAAAATGTAGAAACTCATTTTCCCATCAGACTTTTCCGTAACTTTCCTTTAACCTAATGAGACACTCCATAGGAGTCTAACATTTCTTCACTGAATTCCAAGTGTAGGTTTCCTGGGTTGTCCATTTAATTGTTAAAGTGAGAGAGACTCTGCTGGAAGACAAGCACCACAGAACAGCAAGGGGAAAGCTGAAGGGAGGTTACTTGGGAGTCACCCCAGGAAGAAGCCCTGTGCAGACTGCCATCACCGGCTGGAGAGTGGCCATGAGACATGTGCGGTGGCCTCTGGATGCTTCTGCGCTGCCTCATGGGAATTTTCACAGGTCTTCCTCTGTTTGTAAATGGTGTTCAGTGAGGGGAAAATTAAGTGGTACTTACTACACACACGTTCACCAGATACTTGCTGCGTTATCCCCATACTGTGGATGGCTTTTGACGAGGTGCCTGATGAAGAGAGATGCACAGAGTTGTGAGTCCTGGCCTACAGAAACTCATGATGGGTGCTCCCCAGTGCTGGTGTTGAGTAAATGCCCAGGACAGTATGCACTGTGCTTGACACACAGTATGACTCATAAGATATCTGTTATTATGTGAACAGTGAACATATGCACAGCATACAAATCAGTAACCGAGTGCTGTTCTGATGGTCTTGTCCTGAGCAGTTTTTCCCATCAATTGGAGACAAGACTCATTCTCTAGAAAGAAGAGCAAACAATGGCGGGTCCCACCAAGGCCGTGGACAAGGGAAAGGCAGAAACATGCAGAGGGAGCAGAGACAGAGGAGGCTTGAGACCTGCATGGAGGGACAGGAAGGGAGCTCAGAAGCCCATTTTCTAGCAGATCCCAAGTTGTGAAAGTTGATATGGTGGAGCGCACACGCACAGAGTAACACCTAGAATTCTCAGAGTTGGTGATTTAAAGAAAAAAAAAACACAGACTAAAAATTAATCCTCAGTTTCCCACAGGCCTCAAACTTCCAGCTGCTAAAAGACAGTGGGGTATGGGGGGTGGAAAGAGACCACATCTCGGAGGGACAGCTTTGTCTGTGACAGTTGAGACGGGTGCCAAGGAAGGATGAAGTTTCTCTCTGCCAACTAGACTTAGAGGGGGAAAAACAACCATAATCATGTTTATTTTCCTGATAATCATATGCAAATCAGGTTACAACAATCTATACACATGGTAATTCCTCTTTATGGATAAGTACAACTTAAAAGTTGTGAACAAGAGCAAAAGGATGTAATTTTCTAGTTTTCTAATGAGCTCAGAGTTTATGCCCAGTTACAGTTGAGCTCTGGAATGGTTTTTCTAGCTCTTCCTGTGCTGTAGTTCTGGTAGAGAAGCTATGAGGACCAGAGACAGAGCCAAGGTGGTTTAAATTCTGGCTGCACCAACTGCCCTCCACATGATCTAGCGCAATTGACCCAACCTTTGTAGGCCCCAGTTTCCTTTCCTACAAAATAGGCAGGATAACCAGGAGGTCAAAGTGAAGTGACAAGATGTGAACCTGCTCTGTAAGATGATAAGCACTATTTGCTGGCAAGGGATTGCGGCTTCTTAGCTGTCCTTTAAGTGTGGTTGGGGTTGTCTGTGGATTAAGGAAGGAAAATTGGGTTTTAATTCTAAACAGCCCTATGAATCAGCTGGGGCTGAAGACCTGGGTGAAGGTAATCTATAGTCAGTAGATTTTAGATAGTTAACTTCAAATAATTAGGAACAACACTGAAATATTTGACCATATTTAGTGCATCTGCTGAAAATGTTTTTGAAAATTTAAACCCTGTAGTAGGTTAAACCAGCCTTGGGCTACAGCCTGAAGCATGCGCCAGCGCAACGTGGGCCTGCTAAGACCAGGGGAAGTACCAGGTGATAGAAAACAAAATGAATTAGGTGAGTCTTACCTTCCCCACTCCTCCCTCCTTTTCCTCCCTTCCCTCATCCCAAGTTTAGATGTCCTGTTTCCTATAAACTCTCACATGCCCTGGGTTTTGACTGAAGCGTTTGTGATTAGACGAGGACTTGGATAACTAATGAGAAGCCTCGTGACCCACGCAGCAGAGGAGCAATGGAGAGATCACTCCTGAGTGTGCGTGCTGTGCTCAGCATAGCCGCGCGGCATCCTAACCGTGTGTGGGTGTTTAACAATGCCACTTGGTGATTTTTAGGATGTCATGCCACAGTCTTCTTATGTCAGTTGGGCTCCTCCCACACCTATTATGAGAATGAAAGATCCCGCAGTTTATGGGTTGAGTCGCAGTGGATGATTTGTAGGATTAAGATTAATCAGTGGCCTCTGATTAAAGTCTTAGTAAAATGGACCTGTTCCCTCCATGGGCCTTCGGTATTTAGAGACTTGGTCCAGGTTATCCCGTTAACCCGCTTTATTAGAGAATCTTATTGCTTTATTTATGGGATTGTGAGAGTCCAAAGGTTTTTACTTTCAGCTGCCGCTGCTATTTTGCCCCTAAAAATAGAGTGTAAGCCCTATTTTTTTTTCCCCCGATGGAAGAAAATTTTTTCTTTAATCTGTCATAGAAAAGGAGACTTTTCAAGCCCATAGAAGTGATTTCAACTTCGGACTTGTGAAGAGAGCTGTCAGCATACACCGCATCTGGAATGAAAAGGCAGGATTCCTTCCCTCTGAGGGGTCTGCGGTGTCCCAGTCAGTGCAGAGGACTTCAGGACGTCGGTTCGACACCTCTGAAGGAACAGCCAGCATCATCCCTGGAAATGGAGATTGTTGGTTGGTAGAGGTTATTGCTAAATTCGAAGAGTGTGCATCAGACAGTAAAGCTGGTCCTTTCATGAACCGGGGTTTGGAGACTGCACGTTGCCAGAAAGAACCTGGCTTGCATCCCTTCCCTCTCCGTCACTCCCTGGCTTTCGGAGCCTCTTCATTAGGCTTGCTCATGAAGCGCATTCCTGCCCTCGTGTTCTCTTTCTGGATCTCAGTCCTCCTTGGATTGTCTGGTCCTTACTGTGAGCTTCACGCCTGACTCCGTTTTCTGAGTTCTGCTACCTAGTTCCAGCTCCAAGTCTCAAGTTCCCATGCAGGCCGCAGGCACACACAGACACATGTTCACTGTTGGGAGGACTCTGCCCTGCCTCTGTGGCAGCCGTGCTGTGAGGCTGTTAAGAAGCCATGCACTATGTCAGTAGCATTCTGTTCCCCCAGACTCTCAGACCCTGTGCGCCCCTGTCTGCACCGTGACCCTGTCTGTGGGACCCCGCTTCCGCTGTTTTGTGTCATTGTTCTCTGCTTTTCCTCTTGAACAATGAACTCCCCTGCATCTGTTCTTGACTGTCGTATGATGTCTTCTACGTTCCCTTTCGTGTTTTATTCACTACCTTCAGATTCGTGATCATCTGCCTGCAGACCGCGCGTAGAGCTTCTCCTACCTAGGCAGCCTCAGAGCCGCTGGCACCCCCAGGCGCTCCATTTGCCCGGCAAACCTCCACCTCCACCTTTTTGTGATTTCCCTGCTCCTGTGAACGGTGTCACCAGCCATCTAGTTAGCCGCTGTCATTGTTAGCCATCCCCTTCCTCCCACCCCTGCTGGTTCTGGCTTCATGTACCCTTCCCACCCTGCTTTAATACCCCAGAGTTCTGCGCTAATCTGGACCCTCATGCTGCTGGAGGGCACACATGGGCTGTGATGGTCACTCAGCGGCCCAGCTATCTCCATAGCATGGCCTAACGCCCATGTCTAAATCATGTTACTCTCACGCTCAGCCAACCTCTACCTTCAAGGGGTGCTCGCAGGTTACAAAAGGAAGCCCAAACATATCAAAGTATTGGCTAGGCCCCATATTCCCCGTCCTAATCTACTTGTAGCGCCAAACGTTTCACCTTATACAGCCTCCCTCTGGTCCTGGGGACTGTCCCTTAATGTTTCCCCTTTTGTGTCCTTTGCTTATATGAGTCCTTCTCTCTGGGACAGTCAATTCTCCTGAGCAAATCCCAGCTCAAACACAGTCTCCTTCAAGAAGCCTTTCTTGGTGTCTGAGGAAACTCCTTTTCCTCCAGGCTTCGCCAGCCTGCCCGCTGAGTGGAGTGTCCTGGAGGTACTTGCTGCAGCCTCTAGCTGCCCAGGAGTGATTTGTCTTCTTAGAAACCTCATCTTCCTTTCAACTCTAAGCCCATTGAGTCAAGAACCTTGTCTTCTTAATGTATGTATCTTTCACTTACTGTATGAACTTGCTTTGCTATGGTGAGCCCTGAAAAATGATTGATTTCATCTTGTTGGAAAAAAGACTGCTTGGCTTCCATGAGGGGAGTTTTATATGTATTACATACTCTACAAAAATCCTTATTAAGAGTTTGCTCCTATTTTTAATCAGACTTCAATTTGTGGATTAAAATTCGGAGGTGACATGAAAGAATTTACAAAACATCATTCTTCTTTGGTCATAATTTTTTTGAGTGATATTTTTTCTTAATTCCATGTACATCTATCTCTTTTGGTGTTTTAAGACCTCAAACTGGGGCAAGCCCTTGATAATTTCTTTAAGGAGAAAAGAAAAACACATACATTTGAAAATTCTAGTAGCTAAAATGCTTCCAAAAGTTAAGCTAATAGAATTAGCTCAAGAGAAATTATAATAACCTAAGTCTTCTCCAGTTAAGCATAATTTGCATAATCCCAGAATGGAATATGTCTGAACTTTCAGGAAAAAACGAATAAGATCAGCATTTATTGTTTTATTTTTTCATTGCTTCTGAAAAATTGTATTGGTATTGCTTTGTATGAATAGGTCTCCATGAGTAAATTATGATCAAAATTCAAAGCCATCATAAATTAAATGTGTTTTTTTTTTTTTTTTCCTGCTTTGGTATACAAGACTTTCCATTAAGCTAGCCTCATATAATATACCTTGGATGTGTTCAAGAAAGCCCTGTAAATTATAGTAAGTATTTAAAATGGTAAGTAGACATTGGAAAATGCCACATTAGGATTAATGAATGAAGGGGTTGATACTGAAAATGCACTTGTAAATAAATAACATAAAAAGTAAAGATGACACGTTGTTAGGTTAGAGTTACAAGTAGAGTATGACACTAAATTGCAGGGCGGCAACAGAGTGTTCATGGAACTTCAGTTTCTTTGTAGGAGCGTTTCTAATTTCTGTCTAGCAAAATCTTCCGGGTTTCATCCAGTCTGGGTTCCATCCTGAGGCTTTTCCTGTGCCTTCCTTTCAGATATGGGAAGTGCCTGAGGTTTCCTTCCTTAGCAGTCAGTCCCCTTCCTACCAGCATTTGGAGGACTATTCGCCCAACAGTAGGGGACCAACAGAAGGTGGAGCTGGCTTTGTCGTAGAGATTGCATTTTCTCCCAGTAGCCCAGGACTAAATGCTCTGGGGAAGGAAGAGGACGCAGGAGTCATGTTACTTGTGACAAAATGGAAGCACTAAGCAAGAAATGCACACACAGGGTGGGGTACGCTTTCGATGCATGCACTCATCTGCCTCCAGGAAGGGTTGGGGCAGTGAACTGCGCTTTGAGGAAAACGTAAAAAGAGGACAGTGCATATTTGGACTGTTATTTAAAAATTTGTGTGGCTTTGACAGAATAGAGTGGAGACACTTGGAAAAGTATCTCGGGTATATTTAAAGTTTTGGCACAAAGTTCAGTTAACACTCTCCTTAGGCATATAGACTTGCAGCTATATAAACTCAGCTTTCCTAAATTATCTATACATATATATGAATATGCATATGTTATATGATGAGCGAGATTTCCTTCTGAGATGTTCATTTTTTCTAACACCCAAGTTTGCATAGCCCCAATTATGTGATTTGCAATACCTGTTAGATTTCCCATTTGCTAAAGAAGGTGACTTCAGCTTGAACCACTGGAAATATGCTTTTAGAATTTAGGCAGAGATGCTACGCTCAGGTAAGTGGTAAGAAGAAATTCAAGAATAAAGGCTGGATTCTGTATCATAGAAAGAATAATAATGTAGATGGAAAGTTTACAGTGTCATGTAAAATACTGACAGGAAGCCTGAAGCTCTAAGAAACCATGAGAATTTCTAGATTTAAAAAGATGATTAGAGAGGCTCTGCTTCTGATAATAGTGGAGAAGCTTGCCCCAGAATAACCTTCCCACAGATAACAATTACAAAGTCTGGACAAGATATAAAAACCAACTGTTCAAAAGCATTGGAGAATGATGAAAGGGAGGCAGCAACTGGGGAGGCAACCCTTGAAAGATGGGAATTCACTGGGTACCATTTGCATTTCTTCTCCTTTTTCTCTTGCCTTAAGGTACTCCCAAAACTTCTTGGGTTCTACCATGCTGTGCACCTTATCTGCCAGAGAAGTCACCGGGCATAGTTTGAAGCTGATAGCAGCTCAAAAGTGGAGGGGGAGTTCCAGAATTCAAGAGTACAGAAAGGATAGCAATGAAATCTGTGCAGGCACTTTTTCCTGCCTCTGGGTAACCACCGGCCTGCATGTGCATGGGGAAGCCCCCACATTTCCCTGCGAAAAGAACAGCTGTGAGGCTAGAGACTCAGCAGTGTCCCCTCCTACCCACTGCAGGGAGGACGGTTTGGAGTTTTTCAGTCAAGTTAAATGGCTGCTAGAGCAAAAACTAATATGCTTTAGAAGAACATAACAGAATCCAAAGTCTCTAGAGTATGCATCCACAGTGTGTAGTCTAGTAAGAAATGATTACACATGCACAGGAACCAGAAGATTTTACCCAGAGCCAAGAGAAATGGACATTGATTTGATCTAGATGTTGGATTTAGCAGTCAAGGACTTTTAAAACAACATTTATAAGTATGTTCAAGGACTTAAGGGAAAACGTGGTTATTCTAAGTGGACAGACCAGGAATCTCAGCAGAGAAATAGAAGTTGTAAAAATAAATGGAAATTCTAAAATGGAAAAGTGCAGTGTTGAAATACAAATGATTTCTGGATGGATCAAAGCAGTGATGGAATGAGAAAATTAGCAATAGATCCTAAAAGCAGTGGGTGAGAGTTAAACGAGGAATAGGTCTCAAGTTATGTCCCCGTAAATTACTTGTTAATTACAAACTGAAAAGTAGAACCTTACAGTTCAGAAACCTGGTGAATTTCATTTTAAATAAGTGATCCAAGTTAACATTACTAATATTGGGACAGTGACATCCTGGGCCTCCTCATGTGCTGCAATGGGAAGGATGCGTTTCTGTGTAATTCCTGCCATAGTGCAGAACAGGAATCTAGTCAGGAGGAAACCTCAGCAACCCCCAGTGAAGAGACATCTACAGAGTAAGTGGCCTGTACTTTTCAAAATGTTAAGATGAATAAAGACAGAGGCTGAGCAACAGTTCCAGATGCAAGGAGACGAAGTAGACATGACAAGCAGATGCATGTGGGATCTGGCCTGTTCCTGGGCTGGAGGGGGCAGTTTTAAGGACATCACTGGGGCAGTTGACACAATTTGCATCTAGGCTGTGGATTAGATAATCATATTGTTTCTATGTTAAAATGTTCTGCTGTGGATAGTTGTACCTTGGTCACATAAGAGAAAACCCTTGTTCTTGTTGAATGCACACTCAGGTATTTAGGGGTAAAGGAACCCAATGTTGTCAAATTACTTTCATTTCCATTTCTTTCCCTTTCTGTCTCTGTCTCTCCCTGTCTCTTTCTTTCAACTGATAAAGCAAATGTATAGTAAAATCTAAACTGGTGAATCTGGGTAAATAACAATGAATGGGCTGGGCGCGGTGGCTAACGCCTATAATCCCAGCACTTTGGGAGGCCAGGGCAGGTGGATCACGAGGTCAGGAGTTCAAGACCAGCCTGGTCAATATGGTGAAACCCTGTCTCTACTAAAAATACAAAAGTTAGCCGGGTGTGGTGGTGGGCACCTGTAATCTCAGCTACTCGGGAGGCTGAGGCAGGAGAATCACTTGAACATGGGAGGTGTAGGTTGCAGTGAGTGGAGATTATGCCACTGCACTCCATCCTGGGTGACAGAGAAAGACTCCATCTAAAATAAATAAATAAATAATAACATTGAATGTTTCTTGTGTTGTTGCAAATTTTCTATTAATTTGCATTCATATTAAAATTAAAATGTTATAAATAGGCATAAATAATTGATTTTATTTGAGCTCCTTCATTGCTAAAACCAATGACTTCTGTGTTTGTCTTCTTCTCACCTGCTATTTTGACACAATGAAGTCCTTTCTTGACAATTTGTCTCACTTCAGCTTAGGAATCACCTTATCTTTCAAAATTGTTCTCACATTGTTTGAAAAAAATATCTTTTATTCTTTTGTCGTGTGGATCCTCTCTTAGTCCCCTCCCATCTAGTTAATTTAGAAAATTAACTAGAATGTCCTAAAAAATTTGCGAATGCATGAATTTTGAAGTACCTAAAAATTAATCACAATTTGCTCTGAACCATTCAAAATAAAAATGTTTACATACAAAATTTTTAAAAAGTGAGACATCCATATCATGAATGCTAAATTCTTTCTCTTTGCACTTTCATCTTCCTCCGTTTTTCCCCTTCCATACTTGATTGGCATGTGACTATCTCACTTCTACCAACTGCATCAGGTATTAAGTGGCATTAATTTATTTGAAGAGTGTAAAGTCATTCTGCTAATAAGTAACAAGTACCTCTAGTAGTTGGCACAAATGGTACCAGTAATGAAGATGAACAGTTTGCATCAAAGCTGTTCGCAGACCTTCCTTGACACTGGTGAGCACCTGAGGCTCTGCTGTCCTTTTCTGGATGCTCCTCTGGCCCTGGATCATCGAGGCCACAAGATGAAAGGTATTCACACAGTGAATATGCATTCTGTGTCCTCTTACACATGCTAGGCTCCAGGGATTCAGCAGAGAACACAACGGAAAAATACCTTCATCCTTATGGAATTTCTATTTAATGAGAGAGCCGAACAATAAAAAAAATAAAGAATAGGTTAGCTGGTCCACTATGGGGAACAGTTTGGAGATTCTTTGAAAAACTAAAAATAGAGCTACCATATGATCCAGTGATCCCACTGCTAGGGATCCACCCAAAAGAAAGGAAATCAGTATATTGAAGAGATATCTGCACTCCCATGTTTATTGCAGCACTATTCACAAAAGCCAAGATTTGGAAGTAACCTCAGTGTCCATCAACAGATGAATAAATAAAGATCATGTGGTACATATACACAGTGGAGTACTATTCAGCCATGAAAAAGAATGAGACTCAGTCATTTGCAACAGCATGGATGAAACTGGATGTCATTATGTTAAGTGGAATCAGCCAGGCACAGAAAGACACGCGTCACGAGTCCTCACTTATTTGTGGGAGCTCAAAATCAAAACAAATGAATTCAAGGAGATAGACAGTAGAAGGATGGTTACCGGAGGCTGGAAAGGGTAATAGGGGAGGGGAAGGGGGGAGATGGGGATGGTTAATGGGTACAAAAATATTAGAAAGAATGAGTAAGACATACTATTCAACAGCACAACAGGGTGACTATAGTCAACAATAATGTAATAGTACATTTAAAAATTACTTTAAAAGTATAACTGGATTGTTTGTAACACAAAGGATAAATGCTTGAGGGCATGGATACCCCTGCTTCCATGATGTGATTATTATGCATTGCATGCCAGTATCAGAACATCTCTTGTGCCCCATAAACATGTACACCTCGTATGTACCCACAAAAATTAAACGTTGACTAGGTTAGAGGGTGATGGGTACTCAGGAGAAAAACAAGACCGGAAAGGAGCATAAAAAAACATTGGCAAGGAAGTTGGGTCCATTTGAGAGTGGTCAGGGGAGTGTGACTTTGAAGTTAAAAGTATGAAGGTGAAGAGAAAGGGGCCACATGGAAGGCCAGGTAAGAAACAGAAAGAGCAGAGGTCCCCGAGCAGGAGGCTGCCTGACTTGGTCAAAACCAGCCAGGAGGTGGGTGTGGGGTGGGGTGGAGAGGCGATTGGGGAGACGTGAGTGGAGTAGTGAGCCCTCGAGGGTCATAGAGGTACTCAGTATTTTCTCTGGATGAGATAGGAAGCCAGCGGAGGCGTCTGGAGCAGAGGAATGGCGTGATCTGACACAGGAGAGTAAACGAGAGAGATTCGCGGGAGGAAGCAGGGAGAATGCCACGAAGCCACTGCCAGAATCTGAGCCACAATGTTGGTGGCTTGGACCAGGGTAGGAGAGATCTAAGTGGCGAGAAGTGGTCAGGCTTTGTGTGTACTTTGAAGGAAGAGTAAACAAGATCTGTGGATTGACTCAATGCACGTTGGGAGTGAAAGAGAGGAGCCAATGAGGATAATAAGGTGCTTGGCCTGCCTGAGTAACTGCAAGCCCGAAGTTGGCATTTGCTGCGATAGGGAAGGCTGTGAGGGAGGATACCAGGAGCTCAGCTGGGGAAATGTGAAGCTTGAGAGCCTATTAAATATCCCCATGAGATATCAAGGCCATAGTTTGATTTTTAAGCCTGGAGTTTAGAGTAGGGAATCAGGCTGAAGATACGTGCATGTAAACACTACTTAAAGATACGGGACTGTAGGAGGGTTGAGAGGGCAGGTCTCGCTAGAAAGGAGAAGACTCAGAGATTGAGGTCTGAGCAGGCCAATGGTGGCCATGATGCCCACTTACCAGCAGTGTTCATGGGGACATCCAGGCCAAAGAGTGGGGAGAGCCACAGGGAAAAGGGAGCAGACTTGAATCACTGCCTCTGGCTGAGACAGACTCCAACCTAATTGCAGGCACCTGGAGCTGACTTTTCAAGACTGCTCCTATCACAAAGACTGGAGTCAAAAAACACTGGAATCAAGAATGTTAAATTGATCCCTGGGCACCACACTTGTATTTCTAGATAGAGGTGCCCCCCGAGCAGGTGAAAGCATTAGAGGGAGATGGGAGGGCATTTGAGTTGTCAACAGGGAAGTCCCTGAATCACCTACAGTTCCCAAATAGAGCCTCTCTAGGGGGTTGCCCAGGCAACGCCAGCTGCCAGAGGTGATCCCCTCAGTCACTGAGTCACCCAGTTCAGGGTCCTGCTGAGGGCTCACCCACGTTGAGAGTAATTCAAGAGTTTGCCAGTTTTTCCACATTCTTTTCTTGGGAGTCTGGATGTTGGCTCACAATTTTGGCATGTGAATGTCTGTCTGCAGATGTTCATGTGTCTCCCTTAACCTTCACAGTGAAACAAATACACACGGATGCAAGATGCAATGTGAAGTACTGAACAGGTTAAGCTGAAAATGCTCCCTGACACTCTGGAGGCACAAACACTAACCGTATTTTTCCATCTAAGCAGGTATCTGTGCTGAATTGCTGGGACAAATGCACTGAACATTGCCTTCACCTTCAACGTTGCCTTCATTCTGCCCCTGTTGAACTAGGCTAGCATTAGTCTCACCAGGGAACTGGGAAAATAAGTAACCGGGCAAGAAGGGAAAGTGAAATCCAGGGTTGAACATCCTCGTTTTATTGATGGCATGCATCCCCAAGTGTCCTATTATCCCCTGAGCAGCCTTGTGTACATGTTAAACAGAAGTGACTGTCCTGGGGGTAATGGATGGTCCCCTGGGGCTTTCTCCAGAAGAAAACTGCCCTTATATGGGCATCAGCTTCTCTCAAGAGGGAGGGGACTTTATTCATGTCCCACTGTCAGAAGCCTGGGCTCAAATGAGAACCCAGCTACCCATCCTGGAAAAAAAAAAAATCATGTTTTTTTTTTTTTTTTTGCTTTGCATTTTAGGAATCTCTCCTTGAGCAAAGACCTTGATCAATTCAGAGGCTGGTGAGTTTTCTTGGTTCTTGCTGATGAGGCTAACTCCATTCAGTTCTAAGGCCGGTTAGCTTGGGTCTGTTCTAAGGATGCTGTCAACATTCTTATCCTGTGCGAACACTTTGAACCTTGTGGGTTGTTGGTCACGAATGGTGGCAACCGTTCTTTATGCCGCTTCATGTCACAGGGGAAAATGCGTGTGTCTTGGACTCCAAGGGTGGCAGCATCCCCCCCCAAAGAAAGCAGCCCATTTGTTTTGATGGACGCTCCTCAGGGCTTCCAGGAACGTGTTCTGCTGGAGGAGTAACGGGGATGGTGGCTCTGCTAACACTGACACAGGTCTCACGCCAGGGTCATTTCTAAGGAGCTTACTCACTCTTTCAGATAGGTTATTGCAGATTTGTCTGTCATGAAACCTTTCTACATATTCCTTCCATTTATCCGGAAGATTTATCCATCCAAGAGGCACATCCCTCCATAGTTCTGTGCCTTCTTAGTAATTCAAAAATCAGCCTTGGTAAACGATTTAGTTTGAAATCACCATTCTCCAGAACCTTTAGGGATCTCAGGGTAGGATGAGCCAATGAGTGATAGAACTGATTAGGTAAAAACTGGACTTCCACAGCTCATTACCTGCAAGGAAATGATTGGATACAGGGTGGGAGACTGGTAGGGTGGAGTCCTGCTGAATCCTAGAAGGCTCCCGTAGCTTGCAGCAATCATCTTTTCTCATTTGTTTGTGTCTAATCTCAGGATATGTTCTGGTCTCTGGCTTCTTCATAACCATTGGTCTAAATTCCTTAAAATACAATCTTTTGTCTTCCTTTGGTGTTCAAAAGTGTGAAGCAGATAGCTCTAAAGGAATTCAAGTCACCACCATAAATCTTGAGTGATTTTAGAAAGATATATAATACTCCTAAATGATGACATATTTCCAGAAGATCAGTAAAACATTTCTGAGTGATAAATGGTTGGACAGTTGTGTCTCTGCAGCGAACCTAAGGGGGAACATCAAGCAAGCACAGTATTTTATGAGTATTATTGGTCATATCTTTTGTTTTTAATCTGCCAGAAATGCAACTAAAGAGGTTGGCCACACAGAAAATGGGTCCACTTTATGCCAGGTCTGGCTGGGAAAAGCTCTGGGATTTTTGATTTGCCATCAGAACAAAAGGTTGGTGTGGGACCAGGGTGGCAGGTGTGGCGAGGGAGGGATGGAGGGTTGCAGGGGGGAGTTCAGTGTCTGGAGAGTAGATGACAGCCTTGGTCCCAGCATTTAAAAGCAATTACAGAGCCGTGTGTGTGTGTGTGTGTGTGTGTGTGTGTAGATTTATTCACAAAGTCTGTGCTGTACATTAACTAAATTTGCAGTTTTAATCACGGATAGAAGAAACAAAACATACGCACACGGAGCCACGAAATACCCAAAGCGGCAGGTCATTTTCTGTCAATCCCCAGAGACCTTCGTCTTTGAGTGCTGGTGTGGGGAGGAGGCGGCAGGAGACCGCTGCAGCTGTTAACAAAAGTCAGCCACAATAGAAACACCGTTCTGATAGGTGAGCTGGGAAATGCAATTAGAGCTAGTTAGAATTATGCATTTATTTGGCTTCCTGGGCAGAGTATCAAAAGGCTAGGATAGGAGGGAGACTGCATTGGCTACACTGATGGAACTGAGAAGGAAGGAAGGTTTTCTCCCCTCCGCTGGGATCGAATGGGACGCGCGTGGCTCACTCTTAGCTGGAGGCTGCACCAGCGCATAGCACGTCTGGCAGAGCTATTTTGAGGCATGTGATGCTGCTTTCCACCTTATGTGGACCTTTGGTAACAGCGTCTGAAAATGAGGAGCATTGCAGCCGACGTGCACTCTTTTGAAAGGGCCCGAGGAGTTGCAGAAGCCACCAGAATTAAGAATTGTGTCTGCAAAACCACATTTGTGTGGAATGTTCCTACATTTTCTTTCAGAGAGTTATCTGCTTTTGCAATTCAGTCACCAGCTCTCCCACTGCCGCGATGGCCTCTGCACAAACAAGCCTCACCCTATGAAAAAGTGATCAAAAATAAACCCACAGGGAAGTCGTTGGAAGTAGAACCATATTATACCAAAAATGGAAAAATGATTTTCCTTGAAAACCACA